TCCAATCAGCTCTGGCTGTCTGTAGAAGAAGAGCACGTGGCAGCTTAGGGGCAGTGACTGGGGCAAAGATCCCTGCTCTTCTCTTCAAGGGATCAAGCCATGAAAGAGCTGAAAGGGGCTTGGAGGCTGTTCATCCCAGTCCATTGTGGTGAACCGGACCCAGAGACTACCATGGACTTGCCCCTGGGTCACACAACCTGTAGGAAATGGAGGATTGTCTCTCTCAACTTCAAATCCAGTGCATTTCAAACTCCTTTTTTAAAAGGCCTGACTTCTGTTCCACACTAAAAAAAACATAAGGATTTTTAGGCAAGGACTTTGAGGTGGGTAACACAGTGAGGCCTGGGGGCGAGGAGGGAGCCCCAGACTGGCGTTTCTCCACTGAATTCAGGGAAGAGAACCAGTCTGGGTTTTGTTTTTTGTTCTTTTTAACTGTCACTCTGTTGCAGACGGAGAGTTCTGTGAAGTACAATAAAAATGCTGTTGCACTCCTAAGTGCTATGAACGTTTCTAAACAGTCTCAATTTCTGTCCTTATCCTGTCACCAAGCAGTCTGAGGACTCCTCCAACTGAGAACCACACTGGACTAGCCCACAGACTGCTGCTGGCAGAAAGCATGCAGAAACGGGAGGCCAGACGCGCCGAAGATCAGCCTGGGAACTGGCCACCGGCGGCACTCTCTGCGAGGGCTCAGAGAAGGCCCAAGGGCCAGGTGGCACCCGAAGCCCCTGCCAAGGTCACCCAGGCTCCTCACAGACCAGCGGCTTAAAACAGAGTTCCCAGACATGAGATCAGCATCATCCACAGCATCAAGATTCAAGTGCAGCCTGAGCCAGGGGCTGCTGAGCCTGAAGAAAGGGTCCTGGCATGAGATGCAGCAGGGGCAGGAGTCAGCATGTCAGAGTCTTAGGCTCTGAAGGACCTAGGAGATTACCACCTAAAGCCTCAGTTACCTGGGACCTGCTTTTTCTAAAGCAAAGCAGAGTGGTGGTGAGCACAGCCCCCCTGAATGAAGAAAAGCAAGGCAGAGGAATGGAGAGCACTGATGGCCACTGTAGAGTAGAATCCGTCTGGCTCTGGGTCATCTGGGCGCACGGGCAGAAAAACCCCCACTGCCTCTCAGAGCATCCCTGCCTGAGCCTACATGGAAGCACCCTCTTCCAAAAGAGTGTTCATTTGGAAAGAATTTCATACTTAAAACAAGTTGCAAGAATAGTACAAAGAATACCCACATGCCATTTATCCAAATTCACCAGTTAACCATTGTACTGCATTTGGTTTCCTATTCTCTCTCTATATATATATGTCTTTCTGTATGTATATACATACATACACTCACACAGATACACATGTGTATATATGTATGTACATGTATAATGTACTTTTTCTGAACCATTTGACACTAAGTTGCCAACACTGTTGTCCTTTCTCCTAGCTACCTCAATGTTTATTTCCTAATGATACTCACATAATTTCCCCTACTACCAACTACAGTAACTTCACATTGACACAACCCTTTTATCTAACCTACTGAATTCCAGTTTTGTTGCTGGACCAGTAATGTACCTTTTCCCCTCTAGAAAAGATCTTTTGCACTTAGGTGCATGTCTGTTTAGCCCCCTTTACTCTGGAACAAGTAAAAGATGGGTTTATTTTGGTGAGTGCTACCCACACTTCGAGCACCATAGTCTTCAAGGGGGACACAGACTCTTAGAACCTGAGGCTCCTGCCTTGTTGCCCTCTGGGGTTTGCACACAGTGTGGTGGTTTCCGGACAAGTCTGTTCAAATGAGGTCCTCCTGGTGCTGCCAGAGGGCACAACCCTCCTGAGTGGCCTGGAGTCCCCACTGTAGTGAGGCTCCCCTCTATTTCTGTCATGTTGACCATCCGCAAGCTGGTCAGATTGGTCATAGAGGGGTGATAGAAGAGCAGCAAGCCCACAGCAACTAAGTAACTAGATTCAGTCATCAGTCACAACAGTGCACTTATTGGCACACATCTTAATTAGATTTTAATGCAAGTAATTTGATAACTACTCCTGGCCATCCACTACAGAACAGTCAATACTGAAAGCTTTTAATTTTGCTCCTCTTCTGTCTATACCAAGGCAGTGTCCCTGCTGACCCTTGTCAAAGAACCCCATCTGCTGGTTGCCACGGTAACTGAAGGCAACCAATTGAGTTGAACACAGTGACTCAAATAAAATTTGCAGTCAAAGGAATTCTGCTAAGAGTAATAAATCATTTCGTAAAAGGGGGTCCTCACACAGTGCGGAGTGTGGGGATAATATGATGGCATGATTTCTCCAGCTAGAAGGCCCACGGCAGAGCGGTGATGAGGCCTGCTGGAGGACCTCCAAGGCAGGAGAGCCAGATCCTGCCCTGCTACATGCCATTGTGTGGGAGAAGGAACCAGATAAATCAAATGTTTAATGTCTGAGCTAGGAAAGTTTGAATTTTCAGAGGTACCAAGAGACCAGTCCAGGCTTGTAATGCTTGTAAAGTAGCACAAGTAAACAAAATGCCCCATGTAGCCCAGGAAACCACTGTGGCCCTGAGGAAGGTGGTAGAAAAAGCACATATCAGGAGTGCTTTGCAATAAGAAAGGCACCAACTCTGCCATTAGTCAACTTCTAGGTGCTCCAAGCAGAAACTACCTATGTGCACAAGACATGCAGCCCCTGAGGCCACAGGGGACAGGGGTTCAACTCAGGGCCGGGGGGACCATGGCAGGTTGGTCTCTGAGGGTCAGGGGCTCTCTTTCCACAGGAGTTGGTAGGTGTTCCTAGTAAGATTTCCTGAATAAGAGGGGTGGAAGAGAAAAGCAAGAGACGCCTTCCCTGCAGCTGTTCTGGGTGACTACAAGCAGCACATTGCTAGCCTCCAGCAGTGGCTCCATGCTGTCCCTGAACCCCTCAGAGGCCAGGCCATTGCATCCACTCATGCCCCAACTCCTGGCGATCACCTGCTGTGTAAACTAGGAATCCCCTTCAGTCACAGTGTCAGATTTTAGGAACAACCTCCCCAACCCCCCCCCCAGATATGCTACATCATCCATGTAGCATTTAATGTCTGTATGTGTGTCTGTTCATGGTTGTGATGGGAGAAGACTCAGGGCATAGGAACAGCTGCCCTGACAGCCGTTTACAATCAGGGTGGGAGCTACCTGGCCTGTAGGGGGAAGTGCGGGTGCCCGTCCTGCAGGCTGCAGGACATTTTGAGAGGGGACGAGGGACGCCCATCCTCCCACCCCCGGCCCACACACAGGGAGTGCCCTGTATGCTAAGTCACCCCCAGGATAATTTTCTGCTGTAGAAAAGAGCAACGCCTCAAAGAAGGTAGTTGTGTGTCTCCCCCATCCTAGGTGCTGCCAGTAAGAGGCGTCATCCTGGAGTTTCAGTGCCGTTGACGGGGCCCCCAGCCCGGCCGCACCGCGCCTCTGCGCCCCGCCCCGCCGGGCCGCCCGGGCGCCCTCTCCCGCGGCGGCAGGTGCCTCCCGGGCCGCGGCAGCCCCCACCGGCCCCCACCGGCCTGGCGCTGCGGGAGCGGGCGGGGAGGCTCCGCGGGCCCGCAGAGCTTCGGTCTCTGGCAGGACGCCGGGCTGAACCGGGATGGCAGCTGGAGGGCGGCGAGAGGCGAAAGCGTCATCAACTGCAGGCTCAAGTCCTCATTTCTTTCCCCTGAGAAGTAATGTGGCAAAAGTTCGCGTTCCTTTTTTGGAAAAGGTGCTGCGTGACTGCAACTGCTTGTCTTGCCTTCTCATTCCTTATTTGTAAATAAAATTAATCATTGTTTGTTGAAGATCATGGAGGACTCAAATTTTAATTAAACAGGAAAAAAAATCTTGGCTAATAAAGAGGACGAAGAAATACTACAATCCGTTTTAATTTCTATGTTTGTGATTCAGCTTCTCACGTGACTTACTGAAACTGGCAAATGTCTTAAGAACGCAACGGGATGAAAATTAAACGGTGCTGGGCAGGACATTTATCCAGCCCCACTTCTCGTCCAATGACTAAACTGATTTCTAAAATGTGCCATGGAAAACAGGAGTCTCTGATTCCATATTTTGAGTGAATACTGTTCATGACTCATTGTTCGTACTTGAATTCCCTCTCCCTCCTTACAAGTTACCATTAGTTTCACTTCTAAACAATACTTCCAATTCTTTGTCTCTGCTCACTCTCCCGAATTCCCCTCCATATTTCCATTCCCAGATACTCTTGAACGTTTGCACACGCTGCCAGTTTGAGCCCGCACAGAATAATCAGTATATTAATTCCACTCGGAGACAGTGAAATTCTTGTAACACAATCTGCCCAACCTGAACTCTTTCCCTCAGAAACACTTTGCCTTTAAAAAGAAACTCCCAGCATGAACCTCCTAAGCGACATGTAACAGACAGTGCATGTGGCGCTGAGCATGCAGCTCAGAATTAAAAGAGAATTTTTTACTTTGTTTCTTCGGTGCCATGTGCATAATGTACATGTGGATGAAACTGACATCAGACATTTAAAGCAAAAAAGGGGTGGGGGGAGAGGGATGTGATGGTGGTGGGAAGGAAAGAGAAAATATGTTGATAAAAACAGTAACTTCTGTTAATCTACATTTTTCAGTTACTGTCTTAATTAAGAATGTTAGGAAATATGTTGCAGTTTAATTGCATTGTTTCAAGAAATTCAAATGCTGACAAATTTGGGACCATGTACACTTTCGGATGGCAAAAGGGATTAAAGTGATAATTCCTTCCAATTGGTGGAAAACAATCAAAATCATGCTTTCCACTGACATTCCCCCCCACCCCCCATCCTGAATTCAGAAGACAAAGTAAGAATAGCCTAACACTTAACTCGTTTGGCTTGAAACGAGCTCTGAAAAAAAAAAAAAAAGGAAAAAGGAACGTGTTTTAAACCTATGTATGTGAGATAGGCATAATTTTTTGGTACAAAGAATTCGCAAAATAAAATAGCACTTTATCTGACACTTCTGGATGACATCATTATCCTTGAAGAAAATATTTATTTATGAAAGAAATTGGTAACAATCTTCAAATGATTCTCAGATGACCTTAAGAAAGTAAAAATCATCTTCCTTACCCAAGTACATAAAAATGATTACAGTCTGAAGGCACATTCAGATTTCCAGATTCTGTGTCCTCTCCTCGCATGGGAGCCTCACCACACATGCTCTGGTCTCGTTTCTCTTTGGCGGGGAAGCCTCTGCCTCACTGCACAGCAGAATGAACTCGGATGCATTGTCATTGCTCAAAGTACCTTTGGCAGAGGTTGTACACGAGCCTCCTCTGTCCTACAGTGGACCATAGCTAACTCACTCAGCATGGGCGCTACATTTCTTACTTAACTGTTTTCCGGGGCCTTACTGCCTGTGAGAAGGGAAGGAGCAGCTCGACCCCTAAGGAGGTGTTTCTGTTCAAGCTGTTCTGCTCCCATGGGGGGCAGTATAAACGAGGCACCCCCCAGTGACTCCCACTGCCCTGACTGACCACTTACTTCATCAAACTGATTGGTGGTTTGGTCAGATAAATTGTCCAGTTCTTTCACTGAATCTACTAATTTTACCTTCCATTAACCACAGTTATGATACCCCATAGCCTCAGAGTTAGTCATCCATCCCATTGAGGGGGTGGACCTAACTTTTCTAGCAGTAAAGATATTGCATTGCATATACAGTGACCCTACCTACAATGACAACAGAGATCTCTTTGCCTAAAAAGTAGCTGAAATGTCCAAAGAGTTTGACTAAGACAACAAACTTGAAAGATCTGCTCTTGCTGGAAGTTTGCAAGGTTCCTTCTGCCTTTTAGCCTCTCAAAACAAGAATGGTCCAGGAACTTGACCACAGCTGAAATACTGCCAGTAGTATCATTGTGTCTCAACTCTTAAACTTACATTTTACATTTTGTGTTAGGGAGTTGAATCCCAACGTCTCAAACTGCTGAGTAAACGGCACGTGAGATCCAAAGATCCAAAGACGTCGCTGCTAGGAATTAGTGTAATTTTTTTTAATGCCACACATAAGGTCCAAAATAGTGAAGGGACACATCTCTCATGTGCTCAACACGTGGGACTGTACAAAACCTCAGCCGACTTACTAAGGAATGAACGATTTTCCATCCTAGGGGGTTTTGGGAGATTCTGGTGGGAGGGCACATTCCCCAATAGCTGGGCAACCTCCCAGAGAAATGCACTGGAGTGTGGGTGGGCTGAGCCTGGCCCCCTGCAGAGGGCTGGGGAGCTCATGAGGTGCTACCGGGAGTCATTAATTACAAGATCAGAGAGCAAGGCAGTTCAGGCAGACACAGAGCAGGGAAAGCCTGCCAGCCTAATTAGAAGTTGAAAAGTTCTGAGTCAGTTCTCAGAGTTTGATGAACATTAAGAGTGCATAATACTGGGGGAGGGGAGCAGTACCCGCCCGAGGGCCAATTGCCTCCCCAGCAGTGGCAAGGCTGTTCCTGGGCTCGCAGGACCATTTGTTCCATTACACAATCTCCTGAAGCCATTTAGAGAGAGCTCAAACAACTGCCTGTACCAACACGACACATGGCTTCCCATCCCGACTCTTTGCTAATCCAGACGCTCCGACCATCTTTCTTTAAGATGCCATATGGTTGGCAGAAGCCTGCAGACGTAACAGCACAGCTGCTTGTTCGCTTCCCCTTCCCGCCACCCCCCCAACAAAGGGGGAGACAGACCGCGAGGAGGGCAGGCAGGGCACCTCTGCGCGGACCGTGCTTCTTTATAAGGCTCTAACTGAACCGAACTATTAAAGGGGTGACTGCAAATTATTCAGGGCTCCACCATTTTTAACTAGACCACGGTGATAATATCTGCTTTCCAGTGATTTAAAACAAGATGAGAAAAACAAAGGATGGATGGTCTCCTCTCTCCAAAGGATTATTACTTGAAACCTACTGAAAAGCTCTCCCTCTGCGAATCCTTGGAAGGCTTTCTTGCCACAGGAGACGGACAGCACCCTCGTCTGAAGCTATTTCTCCTTTTCTTTCTGGTCAAGGAAGACAGACAAGCTGAGAAACCATCAGATACCCAGAGCCTGCTTTGTTAGCAAGCACGGCGCGGCTGTATGCTAATGAGCGGGCACCAACACACTGTTTTTTTGGTATGATGAGCAAAGATTGTTGACACTGTTGAAATCCTGGCTCTCCTGGCCTGTGAGCACATGGGCTGCCTCCTTGGAATCTGGCCCCCAGAAAGACAGGCTGCAAAAAAATAATACATTCTACTCTCCTGATGACTGAAATCTGGCCATTTGTAACTTACAGCAGTTGCGGGGGTGGGAGACGGGATAGTGGCACATTAGAAAAATATTCTAAAATATTCTATCAGGCCAGGACTCAAAAAGACACAGGTGAAAATTATGGGTTTCTTCCAAACCAGAAGCTAAACCTGTAGCCACATGTAAGTGATCAAGAATGCTAGCTTCAGGAGCAAAACCTGAAAAGCAGACGTGAGGGGCGGTTATTGCGGCCTCTGTGAGACTTTTGCTCCATGCCTGGGTGGAGGGCATTCTGCAGATGGGACAGCCCCATCTCAGTTACAGCTGAAAAGCTAAGTTTCTGATCTTCTTGTAAATTTGTTTGAACCATGTGTTGGGTGACTTTGGTCTTCCAAGTCTACAGAAATATGATAGCAAAAAGCAAAGCAAATATTCCACTGCTGCACAGTAGACCTTCTTTATTTTATTTTGTAAGTAAAGAAGGGTAGGAAAGGTAGCTGTATCTTTTGGGTGCTGGGAATATTAAATGAGATCCCTTTACTTGCCCAGAAACTCTAAAAGAGAAGTATTATCATTCCAATTTAACTGATGAGGAGACTGGGGCTTAGAAAGGACAAATAAAAGGACCTCCTTGCCCCAAACGTTAGAAAACCTATGAGCTAGGAATGCTGAACTCAAAAGGCCATGCCTAGCTCACCACGGAGCAGGAGGCTCCCTGTGTGCAGGCAGGCATGCACACTGACCCACTTCCCCAGGGGTCCTCCCGGGGCCCAATGTGCCAGCCAGGCAGATCCAGTTAGCTGGTGAGCATGGAATGAATTACCATTAGTATGCAGGCAGGGGCACCAGTTGTAAATTCCATTTACTTGTAATCCACAATATGAATGAAAATTCATGTAACTGAAATATAAAAGCATGAGGAGTGACTAAAAAAGCATCAAACATTATAATAAAAATATAGGAACTCACCCATTCAAAAAGCATGCCCTTCAAATTATCCCCCTTGGGGATACAGTCCGTGTATCAACCACACTGCCATTGCCGAGGACTTGCTGACATGTTCCTTCTTTTTTGGAACTTCCTTCACAGCCCCAAGCTTAGTGCGTGGATACACATGCAAGTTTGTGAATGAGTACACAGTAAATGCATTTCATCAAAATCATGTCTTAACATCAAATACATGCAGTGTATGCTAGCTTACTTAGTGATGACACGACAGCCCAGACTAGGAGACAGGAAGGAGCTTGATTCTATTATCCACAGGAACAACAACCTAGTATCAACAGTTCTGGTATTATCATTGAGATGTGGCTATGTAGAATGGTAAATTGAATTAAAAAAAAAAAAGATCTAGGTTGAAATCTAAGCATGATCCCAGGCAAATTCTTCTAAGCCTGTTTCATTTCCCGTAAAAAATACCACCACCTACCTTAGAGCATTGCTGTGGAGATTTAGCAATAATATGCAAATGTCTGGCATTTAGTAGATTCTCAATAAATGAAAACACAAGCATTATTGTTATTATTTCTAACAGAATGCTTCAGCGCATATACAGAGTGTGTTCACGTACACTAGCTCATTCAACTCCAAAAATAGCCCCAGAAGGTAGGACATGTTTCTTCCATCTAATGAATGATTTAATTGAGATTCAATAATAAAACAGCTCAAATAATAAACCGTATGAGCCATTATTATTAGTGTCATTACTATTATTACTTATTAAGCCCTTTCTGCATGCAGTTGTTGTGATAAGTGCTTTTCCAGCATTTTAAAATTATAACAGCAACACTGTGAAAAAGATATTATTGATATTATCATGATCCTCATTTTATAGACTGGTAACTGAAGCTGAGATGCTATCAATATCTTGCCTAAGTAAGTGGCAGAGCTAGAACCACAATCCTAGGTCTGTCTTTCAAACCCATTATCCTAACAAATAGATCCAATAAAACAGTGAAGATGGGACCAGAAGCCAGATTTTTCTGTTTAAAATCCGGTGCCTTTTTGTCTACACCACACTGTCCTCAAGTGGAACTTATCAAAAGCTACTGGACATTTGACAAGGAAGTTTCTAGCATAAAAACCCCTGCCCTCAATAATCTCCATGTATGATACCAAATGCTATATATAGGGCTCATGGTTCAAGCATCACATGTGTTTATACACATTCATACAGAGCACGAATGCTGGGTGCTCCCTACACACTGAAAACTTAAAGCAGTGTCATTATAAGATGGCAGGACCTGCTCCATGCATTTCAATGCACTGCACACATAACACACACCAACAAAGCTGTCATCATATATTTGGAATCTAATGTAACATCACTGAAACTGTCAAGAGATTTCTTATCAAGAGAATAGTCTTTCAATAAAAATTAGTTATCAACAGAAGGCTTCCAAATCAAAATTATTTGCTAGGAATGCTAGAGCATTTGGAGGCTGCTGATCAGATGCTGACATGAGGAAATGGGAGCAGCAGCAACTAAAATCTGGATTTATGGTGCACATATGTGCTGAACCACACAGTGCTCTTCAGATAAAGCCCCTGAACTGCTCTCGTGAACTCCCCTCTCACTTCTGCTGCAGCAGGAGAGGGGAGCCATAGTCTCAGGTAGTCTTTTCCATCCCTCTGCCCAGTCCTTCCTGTGTCTCATTTATCTGACTGGACCTGGAAGTGAAGTTCCCCCACTGGTTCTCTCTGTACCACCACGGCTTCCAGGTTCCTGATTTCATTGCTGACTTCAACCCAGTTCAAAGAGGAACAGGATTCAAAACAAAGCCTTTGCGATCACTCCCACGCTTCCAAATTTATAAGTCTTTGATCACAGTCTCCATCAACGGTCAAGAGCAGTTTTTGGGAGGTCTGAGCACCACAGATTGTGAATGGAGGTGTGTTACTTGGAATGTACTGATGTGTAAACACGAGGTGTCCCATGGGTTTCAAAATTAAAGGATATAAATCTCAAAGGCTGCACAGCAGTATTCTGGAATGTGTCATTATGAGGCAGCCTCTGATCTACCCAGAGTGGAGACCTGCATTAACTATGGCGCATATTAACCGTCCCACTGAGAATTAAGACTAGGTTCCCCAGAGGCTGACATTGTAAGTTATTTGTCCTTTGTTAATTTCATAGCTGGAGCAGTCCTCCATTGTAGCAGAACAAAAATACTGTTTCATTCTAACTTTGCTAAAGGCATGGGTAAGCTGGGCTTCCCTTATCAGACTGAGTGTGCTTGCCTTATCTGCTCTGAATTGGACCTACTGAATACTCACCTCCCAGAGCATCTCATACAGCTCTAACTTCCTATTGCACAGGTTCCCTGTGCTGAGCACTTTAGCAATCACATAGTTCATGTGTTTTTTTTGAGCACTAAGTACATGCCAGGCACTGTTTTGAACGTTCTGTGTAGTAATTCACTGAATCCTCTTAAGAACCCTGGGAGGTGATAACACAGTGTTATCATCTAGACATGAATAAGGTTAGGCCCACTTAAGTAGCATGCCCCAAATCGCACAGCACAGAAGTGGTAGAGCCATGCCACTCTTAATGACCTTTCTCCTCCATGACTCTCAGAGATATTAAGTAGGAAAGGGTATGATGTGCAGGCTACCGGCCATGGGAATTCGGTGACATTTAGCCCCTCTGAGACAGAATTCAAACTAAAATGTCATTTTAACAATACTTGTCCCACCTACCTGTCTCAGGTAGGAAATTTTATGTGTATGTGTTTATATACATGTTTACTGCTTTCTTTTTCTCATGTGCAAAGGTCTTTTCTAGGCCCAAGTGGGTTGTGCCCTCTTGGAGGGGAGGGGCCGGTATCTACTTGGTAGCTGCTGTGGCCAGACCTCATAGTTACCACCACTGTCATCATCACCTCATAAATTGCCACTTTGGGTGCTAACTGGGGCCCCCAAGATGAAAACCCAAGTGTCCTCCACTTTGCCAGTGAGAGACGGGGCAAAGACCTGCACATCCTGCACATGGTGCCGACATACCTTTTCCGAAGTGGTCTTAGCTGCACTGAAAGGGCAGCAGGGTGGGCCAGCCCCACGAAGCCATGAAGTGACGGTCTGGCAAAAGCTGGGGCAAAGAGAGTGCTAGCCCGCTTCTGGAGGCCCACGTGCACAGGGACTCTGAAAGTAACACCCCAACCACTGACTAAGCACAGCTGACAGAATGAAAAGGAGGACAAGATTTTATCAAAAAAGAAATGCTGCCTCTCTAGGGAGAGAAAATCGTTAATACAAATGAACAGCTGTTTGGGAAGAAAACAGTGTATTTCCAAAACCCAGACAAAGCTCTATTTATTACATTTCAGAGACACCTAAATTACAGTGTCTGAAAACTATCTTCCATGGGTAGTTTTGTGGGTATCTCTGACACCTAAATTATACAAAAATCAGGGAGGTCAGGCCAACATACAGACTTTACTGCTAAGAAAGGCTTACAGGGAGAAAGCTCTTCATTTTCCTCAAAGGACCAGGTGACTGAATTCACTATGTAGCATACATAACCCAATGAATACTAAGTTCCAGCACTAAACTTTCTGGAAACCCAATAGAATATTACATGCAAAATTCATTCAGAGATGCTAATACATGCAATTTTAAAATCTAAATGCATGGTTCACAGCTCCCGTTGGTCTGTTCCATGTTCACATTTGTTCTCTTGTCCTCCCACTGCACCAAGCCCCAGGCCAGGCTGGGTGCTCCACGGAAGTTCTGGGAAGTTCTCTGAGTTTGGAGATGCTGGATAACGGCTGCCAATTTGTTCCCATCAACTCTGACCCTCCCAGATGGCTTGCACTGTCTTTCCCACTGACTAGCACATGTGTCACTGCCTTTAGACATTTCTAGAGAATGTATTGTCACTCTCTAGTAAAAACCCTGGCTAAGGAGAAAAAAGGAAATGACATTTGGTTGGACCTAGGAAAGTTAAACAATGGGTCAGGTGGCCAGATGCAGTGTAGATTTAACTCTGCATCTCTTCAGCTCATCACTCCTGTCAACTCAACTCAAGTAAAATACAGGCTTCAGTCTAGATTGGTAAGATGTACAAAAAAACCGGCACCAAAAGCATGCTAAAATCCAAGATCACTGCAGTCCATGTTTCCTTACAGGGGTGGGGGGGGGGGACCTGAACTTGACTGAGGGGCTACCCAACAGAGGCTTGCTTCCCTATGCAGGCACCCCTGCCTTCCTCCCTTCATTAACTTCTTGTTTATTGTTCTACCTTACTTCTGACACACCTCATGGGGTGTTGTGAAGCTTGGAAGTTAGTGAAGGCTTGAAATTTTTCTAATGAAAGGTGTTATGGTGTTATGTAAATACACAGTATTATTTTGTCTTTATTCCAGCAATACTGGTTTGAAATAGTTTGGTGTGTGTAAATATGTTGAATAATGTGTATTAATTGGATTTTTTTAGCACTTCCTGGCGCCCCAGTTAACCAAATGGCAGCAGGCTTACTTGCACGACCAAATATTAACTACAGTTTCAGACAACTATCCATTGGTCTTTGTCCCTTCAAATCAAATGTTAGCCAGATGAGTCCTCTAAGAGCTTACAGTCATTTACTTGAATACTAGACAGGAAATTGTGACCTCCCATGAAAGTAAACAGAAGCAAAGGCTGAAGTTCACAGTATAGTAAGTAGCCCATTCCAGAGGATGGGAACAGGTGGGTAAGTTCCCTGTAAACAATTAGCATCACTGAGAAGTCTAAGTGTAGAACATTCAGAAAAAATTTTTAAAGCACCACCATATGCTTTAATTTGGAATTTCCAAAAATATTACTCTGAGGGTAAAAGCCATGTGACCTCTTGACAGCCACATTTCTTCCCTTCTGTAAGTACCATGTTGGCCATCCAGGGCTGAGGGGATCTGACCATGGCAACCAGCTTTCTTCATTAGGTTCGGAATAAAGGGTTATGTCCAGCCTTCTCTCCAGACAAGTCACCTACACCTGCTGGCTCTCACAGGAGTGCCGAGGGCTCACGTCACCACATGGACAGGCCTCTCGAGGAGCTCTCCCTTTGGATAGCCTGTGTGGGCACGTGCCACTGGCAGCGTGGTCTCGCTATCCTCCCCATCACAGACAGCAGACACCACCTCCCATGCAGTAGAATCACAAGCATGGGCTCTAGAATTAAAGTTGGGGAGAAGGTGTAAATGGATTACTGAAAAACTCACAAAACTCATCATATGGTGAGTTAAATGAGTAATGTTTCCATAGATAACATTTTTTGTTGTGTGTAGTACCTTCTCCCTCTCAAGATAAAAAATCTGCTCAGAGGTCCATACTGTGATTAGATTGTGCTGCACAGGCTTTATAAGACATGACTTGAGCCAGTGTAGCCCTGGGGTTGCACAGCCATAGGAAGGCTGCAGGCCAGCTGGCTGGGCCGTCTGGAGGTCCAACAAGGTACAGAACCATGATGTAACATTGGGAATGTGAGGGCAGCCAGCCAGAAGTCAACGGCTGCTTCTAATCTGGGGTCTTATGTCTACAATGGTCTTCTAAGCTGTGGAACCCAAAGAACATTATTAAAGTGCCTTATTCTGCTCTCTGCACACACCCTGTCTCTCCTGGGGGGTCAAGTGTCACTCCCCTACAGAGCCTTTTCTGGCCCCTCATACCTGCTCCTCTTCTGTGTTCCACATTATGGCACCCTTACCACTGCATCACGACTGTCTGTCGACTCCTGCACAAAAATATTAGCTCCTTGCGAGCAGGGGCTGAATCTTACA